TCCTTTCCTTTCCTTTCCTTTCCTTTCCTTTCCTTTCCTTTCCTTTCCTTTCCTTTCCTTTCCTTTCCTTTCCTTTCCTTTCCTTTCCTTCTTTCCTGTGACACACAGAACTTCTTGGTTAGAAGGGAGACAAGGTGTAAGTTCCTGGGCATTTACATGTCCTGAACAGGCCCCACCTCTTGCGGTTTCCTATCATTTGACTACTAGATATGACGAAAACAGCATCCGTTGAAGGGGCACCTTCTTCACCCACTCTTCTGAGATCATCGCAGCTGTTGAGCTTGTCTGTGCAGCGGACTTGGGAATTGCTCAATTGTTGCCTGATTGTTACCATTTTTCCTGTTATGACACTGTAATTGTGTTGCGTACGCTCTGTCCATAGATCTTGTCATCCATGGATAAGAGGGCCTACATCCCAGACTTTCAAGGTTCTCACGGTTATCACAGACCTGACAAATCTGTTGCTAGGATGAGAAGAGAATGTCATTTGGAAAATGAAATCAACCTGTAATTGTTGTTTCATTGCAGGGTAAAATCCAGTATCATGAATATGTCCTTGAAGGATTTGAAAAGATGCCAGCAGCCTTCATGGGAATGTTGAGAGGAGAGAATCTGGGGAAGGCAATAGTGAAAGCATGAAAAAAAAATGGCACGTGCATCATCGCTGAGAATCAGATTTTTTCTTTTTAACATTTGGTACAAATGTGTACTGTCTTATATCAGAAATAACTGCAAGGGGTTAGACCTAGCTAATAAAATGTAAGTGTGATTTTCTTTTTAAATGTGTGATAGAGAATAAAAATCTGACAAACAGCAGGTTTGTTTCTGCCTGTGCCAGCTCCTCCAAGGTGACTGTAAGAAATAATGGCTTTGGTGTCAGTTCTAATGTCTTTTCTCTTGCTGTAATGAAAGCAATTTAGAGGAGGGAAGGGTTTGCTTGCTTACACTTTCTGTCACGATCAGTCACTGAGAGAAATTATGGGGAGGAACTTGTAGGCAGGCCTGTGTGGTGATAATCTAATTGTACTGAATTATTATTTTGATTGTATGTTAATAAATAAAGTTGTCTGGGAGTCAGAGCTATTAGAGCCATAGCAAGAGTGTGGCGGTGGTGGCACACGCCTTTAATCCCATAGATATCTGTGTGTTCAGGGTCAGAGCTATTAGAGCCATAGCAAGAGTGTGGCGGTGGTGGCACACGCCTTTAATCCCATAAGATCTCTGTGTGTTCAGGGATACAGCCAGCATTGGAGACATATGCCTTTAAGACCTAGGGGGCTGTACATTCAGACAGTGACGAGGCAGTCATGTGTTTGGGTTTACAACCAATGAGAAGGCAGAACAACATACTTTAAAAAAACGAACCGACAGGAAGTAGGTCTCTTTTCGCGAAGCTGGGACAGCAGGAGGAAGGGTGAGATTTTAGCTCTGAGCTCTGACTTCTCGGCTTTCTCTTTTACATTGTTTCTGTGTTTCTTATTTAATAAGACGGTTGGTTACATCTACAGGCCTGCTTTGGATTCCATTAGCATGGCCTCTCACCAGGGAGCTCGCAGCCACGGACATCCAGCACAGACTGTGGTGGAGCACTGCTTGCTAGCTAGCTCAGGCAGGCTGGTGCTCCGCTAACTTTCTCATATAGTCCGAGATCGCCTGCCTAGGGAATGGCACCTCCCACAGTGGGCTTAGCCTCCTACATCAATTAATAATAAAGACAGTCCTCCACAGACCTGGCCACAGGCCAGTCTGACTGAAGCTGTTCTTCAGTGGAGGCTCTGTACCCAGGCGATTTCTGAGTCGTGCCGAGATGAAAGTTAAAGCTAGCTGTGATGGTGTCCGAAAGCTCAGAGTGACCTAACTGTGCAGAAGCTGGTGCATTTGAAGGCATGAGGTTTCCACTCCAATTGCTTACAATGATACTAGAAGAAAAACAAACGAAATGCATCCACTACACAGTGCTGATGTCTGAAGGTCTCGGTGCCGGCCTACACTGGTATGCTATGTGGTAAGGCTAATGCCACACAACAGATCAAGGAAGGAATCTGACATTTGCAACAGCTGGAACTCAGAAGTGTTAGACAGGGTAAGAGACAAACTTTGTATTGTACACTGGTGCTTTTTGAATCCTGAACATTCTGGAAATTTGCTGATGAATACAATTAAAAACTAAAATTGCCCGCTTTTGTGCCTTTTTTTTTTTTTTTTTTTTTGAGACAGGGTTTCTCTGTGTAGCTCTGGCTGTCCTAGAACTCACTTTGTAGACCAGGCTGGCCTCGAACTCAGCTATCCACCTGCCTTTGCCTCCCAAGTGATGGGATTCAAGGTGTGTGCCACCACCACCCGGCTTGCATCTTCTCTTCTAACAGTTTAGTCCTAAAGACAAGAATTGGGACAACAGGTGCCTGGCTGCTGGGGGTTGGAGTGGAGAAGCCCCCATGGCCCGGAGCAGACTGAACTTATTGATGGAGGTCAGTTGCCCAGGATACAGAGTCAGAGAGTAGGGTGTGCTGGGCTGGGAGTGAACTGTGGCTTAATGAAGAGACTCGGAATCCTAAGCCAAGTGATTGGACCAAATGAAGAGGGCTTCTTGTGTCAGTGGGGCTCCCCAAGTCTAAGGATGAGGAAGGCATCAGTGTGTGTGTGGGGGTTGGGGGGTGGCGGCAAGTGGCATGATGAAGGTGCCGGAGTCCAAGCAGAGTGAGGATGGATGGCATTTGAACAGGAGGGTGGCCTAATGAGGACTCACAGCAGAACAATGGAGCACGGACCCAAGAACAGCCCTAGTTAAAGAGTTCAGGCAGCGCTGGGGTGGTGGTGGAGCACACCTTTAATCCCAGTACTCAGAAGGCAGAGCCAGGCGGATCTCTGTGAGTTCGAGGCCAGCCTGGTCTACAGAGTGAGATCCAGGACAGGAACCAAAGCTACATAGAGAAACTCTGTCTTGAAAAACAAAAACAAAAAGAAAACAAAAAACAAAAATTCAGGCAGCCTATGCAGAGTGTCACCCTTAGGAGATATGTGGTCCCAAGGAGGATGAGCATAGTGTGCACAGGAGAATGAAAGACCCAGTTGGATCCCAGGCAGGTTGAAGAGGTGCATGATACAGCTGATGTGGAGGTCAGAGCCAGAGTAGAGCTGTTGTGTGGTTTCGGGGTCTACTGGGGCTGTTGGAGCCAAACAAGGCAAGGCAAAGAGCAACTTAGGAAGTAGAGTAGTCTCGAATATTATTAAAGACCAGCCTTAATCTCCTTCCCAGGGCCCCAGAAGAGAAGCTCCGGACGGTGCCAATTATTTTTGGGGAAAGAATCTAAGTACACTGAGCTCTTAGTCTGTCTATTTTATTCCTCTGGGATAAAATCCTAGCTACAGCTTCAGTTCTGTTCTCATGCCTAGCTCCTCTCTTGCCTGATTTCTCTCTGCATTGATCTGCTGTCCCCTCTAAGTTCTATCTTAATTCTCTCATCTTAGTTCTGCCCCAGCTTGGTCTTTCTCATCTCATTCTTCCCCATCTGGTTCTTCCTTGTCTTCCATCTTATTCTAGTTCTCCAGTCAAAATCCTCTCTCAGTCTCTGAGGTTTACAGTTATTCACTCATACAATAGCTGTGCTCCAGCCAAAGCAGAGTCACCAGGCTTGAATTACTACAGGGTCATAAAGGTAGACAAGAGTTTTCCTCAGGCAGTGAATGTCAGGCTTTCTTTTACAACCCAAAAGGGGAGTGGTAAAGGAGGAGGTAAAGAGCTAAAATCAGTTAATATATCAGAAAAAGGGAATTTACGAGCTCAAACTGCATTCCTAGAGGTGGGTAGGTAAAATGTTAGGAGTCTATAATGTTAGTATAAATACCACTAAGGCTGTATGAGAAAGGAAGGTCTGAGCTTAATTTGCCTTAATTCAGGAGATCATTTGGCCTTAGATGCTTGACAGGTATTTCAGATACAATACATTGTTATGAGTTTTTGGAAGCATACACAGCATACAAGAAAATCATTGCAGGAACTGGCTAATATATTTACAAAAGCTAAAATATCACCAAGACTTCTTAAGCCATGGCTTGACCTTCGGAAAAGTCCTTAGCCTTTCCAAGCAGTAGTTTTTTGTGATAGTTACTGAATTCCATTCCATTCTCCTGCGGCTTGCCGCACAGTAGAAGAAGGAGTGAGCGGAGGAGGAGCTCTTAGCTGGAGAGGAGTGAGGAGCATCTGCAAGAGAAGGCATAGGGGTGACAGAGATGGCTCCAGATAGGTTTGGTCAGACAAGGACAATAGAGACTAGTTTCTGACTGTCAAGTAAGGGCTTTATGAACCGGGGAGATGTTCAGTGGGTAAACTGCTCTTAGAGAACTTGGATCCCCAGAACCTACTTAAAAGCCAGGTAGGCACGTTGGTTCATGTGTGATCCCAGCATGCAAGAGGTAGCGACCATGGAGTCCCTGGAGCAAGCTGGCTAACCAGACGAGCAGTACAGGCGAGCTCTAGATTCAGTGATAACCCTGTCTTCAGGTTTAAGGTAGAGAGAGAGAGAGCAAGGAAAACATTTTCAGGGGGCTGGTTGGAAGAAAGGGAGGGGCGAAGTGATACAATTTCTTTTTCATTAATATACGAAAGTAAGATGTAACAAACTGTGTGAGAACTTAAAAACAAAAATAGGCTTTTGACTTGAAAAGTCTCTCCAGGCCCCTCAGATGTTAAAAGTATCCTGGGACACACACCCCTGTGAGCTCCCTGTAGTGCCCTGGAGCACCTTGTCACCTAGGTGTGACCAATGGCCCTAAGCTGTTTCTAGGCTGTGGGGAGCTGAGGAAGACTTGACTGAATGTAGAAAGTGCAGATGAAGTCTTGAATGTGCCTTGTCTGACATGGGCATGACCACGTCAGGGCCGAAGTGCCTCAGACCCAGCAGAGCGCAAAGCGAGGTTCAGAGGTATGGCAAAGCCTTTCTCTGGTCCCAGTGCGAACGGTGGCAGTCTGTGTAAGTACGAGTGTTTATGAATTATTAGCCAGTGTGTGCACACACTAGCAATTGCTGCTTCCTCCTGCTGGACGAGGGCAGCCAGAGACTGGTGGCCTAGAGAGACCTCCCAGTGAGACCAGCTAACCCCTCCTCCCTACGCTGTGCTGTGCTATAAACAGGCTGAGGTTCTGGAGTGCTGTGGTGGTGGGTGGTGCTCCAGCAGAGCGGGCATGGCCACCTGACTCCAGCTTTTCTGTACCCATCTGTTGTTCGTTCTTCAGTCCTCACCTCCCCAGTCAGGTTTCCAGGACTGGGGTGAGCAGGACACACAGCACTAACTAGGTCAGAGTGGAAAAGCACTGGGCATCACTGTATTTCTCCCTTTCCTTGACTCTTGGAACTTGGTCGTCACATGGTCAAGATAGAAATGGCTACAAAGTTACAGAATGTTGCAGGGCAGCAACACTGAAGGTCAGCCTGGGAAATCATCTTTTACTGAACAGAGCTACTGCGGCTTGTTGCCCTTGCTGGCATGGGGGGGGGGAGGGGAATAAAAAAGTCAGTGAAATGATTTCTAGTGATATTCTGCTACGCTAATAGATTAGTGCCTAGCCCAGATATCTTCAGAGAGGCTTACCAAGCAATTGATAGAAACAGATGCAGAGACCCACAGGCAGATCTTGGGGAATGGTGTGGAAGAGGAGGAACGATTGTAGGACCCAGTGGTCTCAGGGGTTCGTTAGAAAACACAGAACCAACTAACCTGGGCTCAGAGACACTGAACTGACAACCAGGGAGCCTGCATGGGACTGACCCTCGCCCTCTGCGCATTCAGTTGTGTAGCTTGGTCTTCATGTGAGACTCCTAACAGTGAGAACAGGGCCTGTCTCTGACTCTGCTACCTGCTTTTGAGACCCATTCCTCCTACCAGGTTGCCTCATCCGGCCTTAACAGGAGAGGAGGTGCCCGGTCTCACTGCAACCTGATACACCATGGCTGGCTGATATCCATGGGAGGCCTGTCTGTATCTGAAGAGAAACAGTGGAGGAGTGGTTAGGGTCGGGGAGAGGGGACATTTTTATTGAGAGGTAAAAATAACCAATAACAAAGTTTTTTTTTTCTATCTA